GCCCTGTGGCACCCTGGTTTCAACTGGGCCGACAATGTTGGTCTTCTATGGATCTTCATGGATCCAGTATTGGTGCATCTACTTTCGTGTGTCTATAGGTTGGATTCTTCCAGTTTATGCTTCTCTTCATCGACGACGGTTGTTGTTCCGATGCACTGGTTCTGTGAAAGCTTAACACGATTTTTTGACTGCCTATTACAACAATTTTTGCCCGGCTATGATGAAGGAGGGGCGATGACGGCAACGTGCCTTCCGCTCACTCCAATGCTTGTAGTTGTCGTTAGACAATCAATTAACTTTGATGTAATTTTTATTATTTTTAGTGTTCTTTGTACTGGCATTAAAGTACTAGAGTAGAAGTTTCTCCAAGAAAAACCAAACGCATCACTAGTGTTGGGAAAGAAAGACGAATCACAATCTTTGGTTTCGCAATTTTTGTATGGTATAGATCAAAGTACAAGTCACGTAAGGATCGATATGATAAAACTGAAAAGCCAGCAGAACATCTCCGAGCTTGATACCAACGCTCATCACGTGCCTCCGACACCACCACAGCAAACATCGAAGAAAATAATAACAGATCATCTCCTCACCCGAGCTTACCGCGACTTCATCGCTGATATGCAACTTTGTGGACCTTCAAGATGGCTCGTCAAAAGTGAAGCACTTGTCGTTGAAGGAATAAGACCGATGCAACACCCCAGACACACGCCATCGAACTCTAAATCTGGCACCCTACCACACCTAAGATACCGAAGGAGGAAACCATACCTACCATCCACAAACCACGAACTCAGCACACATTCCGTCTTTCAGATGTCGTCGATGCAGACCATAATCTGCATCCGTTTCTGGACTACCTCCCAAGCTCTGCGCCACGCTGGAGCAAACGCCGCCGCAACAACGGAGCCCGAGGACATAGATCCACCACGAGAATGCCGTCGCCGCCACGCCATCCTTGTTTGAACAGATTGGTTTCCAAATTCATTTTCAATCATAAGACAGATGGCCTCGTCAGGGAAGGATCCGATTTTTTTAATTTCAGCGTCGTCATTGTTGTCGTCGAAGTAAAACGATGAGTAGCCTAAAAACCTAGATTTTGAGGGAGTACAAACGATCCACGCGCGTGGATCCGACAACCCCTCACCACCAGCGACCGCCGCCGAAGGGGAGCCGCTGAAAGATTGGCCTCTCCTGACGGTGGCTAGAATTCCAGCCACGAGGGACGAGAGGAAAAAGGAAGCACAAATATTGGTTTCACAATTTTGCCTACCGGACCAGAGTCGTGGAAAACGTACAATACGCCTTCCATCCGCGCTCGTCGTAACCAAGTTTACGCCTTCAAACCAGTTCCGTGGCCTGCTCACTCACGGGAACGTATATAGTGCACCAAGATAATTTGTGCTACCAGTGCACCGGATCCCGTTGCACATTCAAAAATATTCAAAAAAATTCGAAAATAATTGAGTGTATCGACACAACATCAATGTATGTTGTCATAAAAATTCAAATCAAAATTCGAAACAATGCTCAAGATACAGAAATGATAAATTTGACCTCAATGTGCTAATGGGCCAAAACTGAAGCCCAACTTGTGTTACGTACTATTCCGTGTCAAATTTGTTATCTTTTATCTCGAGCAATATTTCAAATATTGAATTAAAATTTTATGACAACATACATTGATGTTGTGTCAATGCACTAAATTTTTTTCGGATTTTTTTAAAATATTTTTTAATATGCAACGGACGACCGGTGCACCGATAGCACAAATTACCGCGGTACACGAGATACATTCCCGCTCACTCACAGCTCACTGGCCACGCCCACACCGACAGTCTCCGCAAAAACGCATCCAAAACTTCGCGGCAGCGAGCACCCCGCGCAAAAATCCATCCGAAAACCACGCGGGCCCGCCCGCCATCCACCCAAACGAGATTCACTCCCTCCTCGCGCTCCCGCACCGCGCCTCGTCCTCACAGAAAAAGCACACCTCCCCGCCACGTCACCGATCCGCGCCACCCCTCCTCCCCCATTCCTCGCCGTCCACCTCTCATCCGACGGCCCGCGCCCCGCATCACGCGGATCCTGGCCGCTCCCCTCTCCCCAAACCCCGCGGCTATAAATCCCACCTCGCCGCGCACTCCACCACCATCAATCTCATCACCCACCACCAAACACAATCCAAGCCAATCCCACCGGAGAGAAGAGAAGATGTCGGGCCGCGGCAAGGGAGGCAAGGGGCTGGGCAAGGGCGGCGCCAAGCGCCACCGGAAGGTGCTGCGCGACAACATCCAGGGCATCACCAAGCCGGCGATCCGCCGTCTTGCGCGGCGTGGCGGCGTGAAGCGCATCTCGGGGCTCATCTACGAGGAGACCCGCGGCGTGCTCAAGATCTTCCTCGAGAACGTCATCCGCGACGCCGTCACCTACACCGAGCACGCCCGCCGCAAGACCGTCACCGCCATGGACGTCGTCTACGCGCTCAAGCGCCAGGGCCGCACCCTCTACGGATTCGGCGGCTAGGCCGAGGGCCCAGCCAGCTCGCGACGCCGCCGTCCGCAGAGTAGTGGTATCTATCTAGTTGCTGTCTAGGGTTCGTGGTTCTCCTTGTATGTCGCTGGTGTTTGTCTGCTCCCGTCTTGTGAGCTGATGTTGTACTGGAAGAAATTTGGAATGGAAATTGCAGTAGCTTACCCCCGAATTCCTCTGCATCTCTTGAGTACGGTTTCAGTATTTTGCAATACGCTGGCCGATTTCACATCCCTGTACTCTAAAATTTTCTGCCCCCAAATCGACTCGGTTTTGCCCCCAAATCTTCTGCATTGAACACCTCTGAACTGCGAAATTCCTTCGAGCTGTTTGTCCCTCTCTGAATTAATCTCCATTGTCTGTCTCTGAATTTTTCTGCACGCCCACTCATCCGAGCTGATTCAAAATCCGTCGAGTAACAACTGCAGACGGCGATCCACCCAGCCGGAGAATGGAACGGCTTGTCTGCACCGGCACGGCGGCGGCGCAGGTACGAGCCCCAACCCAAAACCTGTTTCCACCCAGCCATTTCGTCGAACACCCGAGGTGCATTGCGTTCTCGTTGCCTGCTTCGTTCGTTCACGCCCCATGTCTCTTGCTTTGAAACAGATTGGAGCCGAGGTCGCCGCTGACCGCGGGGATGAGGGCGGTCGTGCTGCGGCGGTGGAACGCGGCCGCCGCCATGGGGGGCCCTGGAGTTGGGATCGCGTGCTCGCCTCTGCCCCGAATCGATCCACTTTGCTGCTCCCGCGACCTCCCGGTACAGATCTGCTTTACCATCTCGATGTCTTTGCAGAAGTTGTCATGATCAGCCACAGCTTCGATTTGGTAGTTCATACCAGCTTTATCGGTTGCAATTTGGATGCACTACCAATCAGGACATTTTTTTGTGGAATTCCAAAAATATTTTAAAACAAAAGACTACCCCAGAGACCTGAGTAGCTGACCTGACCATTTGAACTGTGATGTGAATCAGCCATTTCCTTTTTTATTTAAAATATAGGTGTTGACTGGCTGATAACATTCTGAAATGTGATAAGAACCAGCTGATTTCTTTGCTTGTTCTTGAAAATGGACATCGGCCAACGGACTACCTTTTGAATTATGACAAGGAGCAGCTGGTTTCTTTGGCTGAAATTAGATTTTGACTACCTGAGTAACCCGACCCATATTTTTTGATGGTGGCAACTGGTAAGAACACAGTTGATTTCCTTGGCTGATAAGATGTATGAACTGAATTCATCATGGAGAAACATGAACCAGTGTGGACCTAAAGGCGCAAAATGCAAGCATTAGGTTGATGGGGTCTGGGTTTGGTTTACAGCTACCCATGTAGTCATATATCCGAGGAATTTGTTATTGTCTGGGTGCTGAGATCTCTGGCTTTCACAGCCTTGAAATGATACGAGTACTATGATACAGTATATGAACAATTACTAGCTAGCCTTGGATTGGGATGGGAAGCAACTGATTTCTTTGCCTGATTTTGAAAATAGATGTTGACTTTGTGAAACATCTTTTTAAATTGTGGTAAGAGGCAGCTATTTTCTTCGGCTAAAAGTAGATTTTGACTACCTGACACCTTTTTGAATTGGAATAACCATTTAACCATCTTGTTTCTTTGGCTGAAAATGCATATGAACTGAACATATTCAGAGGCAGACGCTATGAAAATATATGACACATTATGGTGCTAAAGGCGCATAAATAAAGGTCGATGGGTTCTGTGTTTGGTTTTCAGCAACCCATGCAGCCATGTATTCAAGGATTTTATGATAACTTGAATGCGGAGATTTCAAGCTTTCAGCCTTGAAATGGCCAAGTGAGTACAATGATATCTAAACAGCTCTAGTTAGAACCTACATCTGGAAAACAGTCTGAAAACTGTATGTAGCTTACGCTATTCTTTATTTCACACGAGCTTAGGCTATTGACGAACATGACAATTGCACCACTTGTATACATTTTGCAACTCAGGAACCTTTAAACATTAATAAGAACGATTCACTACCATATTGGCACCTTACATTTCCGAGTTGAATTTGATTAGTTCGTAATGGTGATTGCTAATGGTATTAGTAGCTTTGGTCTCTTTACATTTGAGACTGATACCCTTAAAATCATTATAAACTGATATTACAAAATTTTTGGAACATGAAAACTGTGCACAGAATAAGATACATTAAACTACGTTTCTGCCTTTTGTATTAGTGCTTTCACTATAAATCATTGCATTGGATGGTAGATACAGGTAAAAGAAGACTTCGAGTACAAAGTAGCCCATTTGTATATTACATTACCAAAAGAAGAAAAGTATAAGCCTACATCAAGAATCAGAGTCCAAACTTAAGTGTTCATACTGTCCAAAGTGAGAAGTGTTTTTATCAAACATATACAAAGATACACAGTGTAACTAGTGCTGGAATTTCTGGTTAGATCATGTTGAGCAAGCTGCATTCTCTAGTTCATTACTTGGTTTTGTTGCTGCACCACAGGTCTTCCACTATGAACTGCATCCAAGAATTGTCTTTGTCATTCTCGTTTGCAGTTGAGGACTCTCCAGCATCCTCAAAGTCTGTAACCTGTTCTTGATTTCCTTTAGCCTGTGATGAGCTGCATTCCCCTTGTTTTTCAAATTCACCAGCCGGCACATTTTTCTTGAAAACCCGACATAGCGCATAGGAGTCCTGTAGAAGAACAAGAAAGATGAACAACCAGTCCTCGTTTCCTTTCTTTTTTTGCTTTCACATGAAACTAACTGTCTCTATGTTGGACGAATCATGAGCACATGGATGGAAAATTAATTCCATGCTAACCTTTATAATTTGAATCATATGGATGTAAAAATGCCATTCTAACCTTTCTGCTTTACTGAACAATATACAGCTGCAAACTTAAACTGTATTTATTACGCTGCTTCATTATTTTGGGGATTTTTCCTGCTTTGTTACATGTGCTAATGTGCTATATCTATGCATTGGAAGGCCCTTCTATGTTTATACGCGGTGGATTGGGGTCTGTGTCCTGTTTTTTTTTCTTTTCTGTAAGACTCACAATTAGTTATTTGCGTTCTGATAATAGAATATCTGTGTTACATCTGCAAACTTATAAACTGTGTAGATGCTGCTGCTTCATTGTCTTGGGGACTTTTGCTGCTCTGGTACATGTGCTATATCTATACGTTCAAATAACATTCTATGTTCATACATGTGCTGGATCGGGGTTCGCATCCTGCTTTTTTTTCTTGTTCTCTTTTGTAGGGCTTATCATTAGCTACTTGGCTTTTCATGATAGAATTCTGGGTTTCTAGCTAAATAAACCTTGTTTATTACCAATCTTTGGGAATGAATCTCTAGAGAATTCAGCATTATGTGCAGCAGGAAATTATATGCAAGTTCAGTGCTGACTGCAGTATGCTGCAGCCTAATAGTCTCTTAGAATATGATCAACCATCCACACTTATAAACAGTTTTTTGTGGGGTATTTGCTGTGTTACGTTTGGACTAAATGTAACCAAATTTAGTTGTCACATAAAGCGATGCACAAACTCTGAATAGTACTGCACTATTACTGTAAAACAGTCACAGAAATGTGAAATGGATGGCCCAGTATGCACAATTTTTAGCTAGCAAGTTTGCTGTGCTCTGCTCTCCCATCTAATCTACAGTTAACATGGGATCAGAAGTTTATGTTCAGTTTTACTAACAAGTAAAGTAGGAGTGGGACATGGAGAATAAAGTGCAAAGCCACCGACACAGCACTGGGCCACACCGAAGGATGTCTAAGCTTTAAGGTAGCATCAACATGCAAAAGACCTAGATTATGTGTACTCTGGATCATGAGGCGGTGGTGGCACCCCTTATGCAGTCACACAGTATGGTTTCAATTCAGAAACCAAGGATTGGATGTTACATTTGTCTTATCAAGAGCACCAAAAAAGTGCACCATGTGTGACCCCATTAGAAGAACTTCTGCTGTACTTTGTAAAGTATCTATGGTCTATGGAAGCAAGGAATACTTTATGCTGATGGATATGGGCCGGGGAAAAAGAGATAAGAACCCTAGCTTTTCATGCACTCCATGCATAAACAACGTAGTTTTCCTGAACTGCGTATGCCCTAGCTAATTTTTCCCTCTTTTATTGTCAATTTTATTTTTTCTGTTTATAATCAAAACAAAATTATTTTAGCAAGACAACATCTCTAAAATCATGCATATTTCCAAGGTATGATTACTACAAGATTGGCTGGATTTTAGTACCATGAACTGCATCCTGAGCTCACTAAATGCAGCAGAAACACAATGATTTAACTGATACTGAAAGTGAGGAGAGGAGGATGAAGGAGTAACCTGAACCCCCATGGTGTTGTTGCATTCGCTTTCCTCGATGCGGTACTCATGCATGACCCAGTTGCTCCTGATCCCCTGAGGAGCTCGGCCTTGGTAGAAGACTAATGTCTTCTTCATACCGATTGACCTCTTCTGGTAGTTGATGGATCGATCTTTGCCGGTCGATTTCCAGTATCCTGCTCGAGTTGCTCGGTTCGTCCGGCATCCATTTGGATACTTCCTATCCCTTGGCCCAAAGAAGTACCACTCAGGGTCTCTACTGGGCAGGAACGATTTCTCTTCCAAAACAAAGAACATATCCCAAGTTCAATCAGGACTCAGCAGTTGTTAGACAACAGGATGAACAACACAACAGAGTTTAATTTTTCAGGTTACCTGCTAGCTCCCAAGGCTCACACTTGTAGAGGTCTACCTCTGGGATGATGTCGAGTTCGATGCTCTGGCCATGGACCTTCCTCTTGAGGTAATAGTTCACAAGCTCCTCATCAGTTGGATGAAACCTAAAGCCTGGGGGGAGACCAACCGGCGCCATGATCTCCTGGTTCGCCTCCTCCTTTGTTGCTGATCTTTCTCTTTGTCTTTCCCCTTTGGCTTTCCCTACCGTGTCCAGCTGCTGCGCTCTTTAGCCCCTCCGTGAAATGATTCAAAGCCTGCCCTACAAGTAGCCGTGTCTCTCTTTCCAGGATTCTCACACAAGCAGGCTCTGGACGTCTTACAGCACCGAAGGATCTTCTTTTCATTTCTTTTAACTTTTGTTCTGTTTTTTATCTGGATAACACACTTTTATGATCTCCAATGCTGGTAGGTCGTGGAGGGGCGCTGTACCAGGATGAGAAAGTTGTCACGATGCCGCCTGCCTGGACCTTGCATTAGATCATGTTCTTTTGCCCACTGAACTTGTTTTTGTGCCTCACAAGCTTAGCCTCTTTGAAGTGTCGTAGAGAAGAAGAGGACTAAAGACAAGGGTGGGGAGCTATGCCACATGCATCTGTCTTGGGATCAGCATTGTAAAACAGAAAGTTTCAGAAGGGAAAAGGAAAGGTTCATGTAGCCATGAGGCCCTATAGTGTCAATGAGCTTGCATTGCTAGCCATTCAGCCATCTAGATCAGACAAAACTTTTAGCTTTAGATTCTGACAAAGGAGTAATTGAGTGCATTCGATCATCACATTTCTAGTTGAGCATACAAATGCCTCCAGAAGCATAAGTTGATTAGAAAGCTTGTGTTCAACAATACATAGAAATCAACGGCAATGATCTAGATCCTCTCTTTCTTGAATGGAAGCCGTTCGATTAGTAAGATCAAATGATCAGTCTCAATGCAAGAAATATTTATGTGTACTGCAACCTTATTTTGAAGGGGATAAATGATCTGTTAAAAAACTGGCTGTAATTTTCTCCTAAACTCCTCCAACTCTACAATGCCAACGAAGCAGATGGCGTCGCATGTAAAGAGGCCAGCGAGTAGCCTTACCCAATTCTCTACACGAAAAGAAGTGTGGTCTAAAGCAAATTCTGTTTCTAAATGTAGATTTGCAAATTACTTTGCAGTTGGTGTGACTATCCAAACGGCGAAACGGTTCAAGGGTACTATCGACCTGCTGGGCCATTCTGAAAAAGATTCAGAGGCAACACGCTTGCAGCGAAGATTCACGGTGAAGACACACATAAGGTAGACTGCAGAACTTTAGTTCTGTCTTCTCTGGTACCAGCGAGGCCGGAACGATGCCCAGAAAGATGATACATCATTAGTGTTTTCGCCTGAGATCTGCATAGAAGCTTTCCTGGCCATGTGGTAAAAAGAGATGTTATTGGAGCACCACTCGGGTAACACTTTGTTGCAGTACACGGTTTTGTGAAAAATACAGTCCTAGACCTGTATGTTTACTGAGAGTAAAAAGCTGCTCCGAGCTTATATTTATTGACTTGAGAAGGATTCTGATTGACATTCTAGGGCTACTGGTAACAGCATGTGGTAACCTCTGATCTAGAATAGTATTCCTTCAACGTTTTTGTGCACAGAAGTGTTCAATTAAGCTTCTTCGTCAGTACTGATGCATGCCTTGCAATCCAAGCATGTAACGGATCCTGCTGCATAGGATTTTCCATGTTTACAGGATATAGTGCTTTGCATGTGATATTCTAAAGAAAAGGTGGGTTTTCAGCATTTGAAGATACATTTAAAGAAAGTAAAATGGTTTACTGTGAGATATCTATTTTATGATTCAAGAAGTATGAAAAAATGTTTTTTCATATCTATATGCTTGGTCTATTTTACTTATGTAATATATATGTAAACAATGTACGGTACAAATTTGGTTGCCAAAAATCATACTTTAGTTGCAATTTTATTCTTATTTATTGATCAACAAATGAATGACGGATTTACTCAGGCAATAAGAACCAGGTGCCAGGTTTGGAGCAGATATATGCAAATTGAGCAGGCAGGTACAAACAGTTACATTTTTGTTCAATTCTATTGACATACACGGAGGCACACAACAACTATGTATGCTATGGAATGGCATAGCCTCACTCTTTCTTTTTTCACAGCAAGAGGAGAAAAAAAAGAGCCTCCAATCGAGAAGCATAATAATACATATGAACACCAAGGAAAGCATGAACAGAAGACGAAGAAAACACAAATGAAGTCTGATTGTTCCTATCATCATCATATAAATATAAATCCTCCTTATGAGTTCATCTCCAGGAAGGATTACAGCCTTCACCTTGAGGCCAGCATCGATCGATCGGTTACCCAAACTCCCAGCAATACGCTGGAAGATGGAACCCAAAAGGATTATATATACCTTATTACTGCTTAATCTTTCACCTTCAACACTCGGTGATTATTGATAAATTGCCAGCAGCACCGATCACAAAAAGAAAAAGGAAAAAATATATAGGTATATATATCAGGAGGATTATTTCCACCGACAGAAGAAGCTCTCCTGCCGCATGCATGATCAGCCGGCGCAGGAGGTGCTCTCCTCGTCGGCGGTGCTGGAGCACCAGGCGTCCTCGGAGATGAACTGCATCCAGGAGTCGTCCTTGTCTGCCTCGTCGTCTGCGTCGGCGTCAGCACCGCCGGAGGTGGACCCTGCGGGCACGTCGGGCGACGGGGTCTGGTAGTACTCCTGTCCGGCAGTGCGGCTGCTGGCGAGCAGCTGCTGGCAGGCGCCCTCGAGCAGTGCCATGCTGCACTGCCCCTCCTGCAGCTCCTCCACCTCGGCGCAGATGGCGTTCTTCTTGAAGACCCGGCACAGCGCGTAGGTATCCTGATCCATCCACCATGCATGGTATATTAACTCATGATAGGAAAAAGCAAAAACAAGATCCATCTGCTATTGTGGTTTCTCAAGTCTTTTCTGAAAGTTTATGCACACACTGATGCATGATTATCTCATGTGCAGTTACTTCTGCCAATTACTAGTCAATAGGCCTTGGGTTTTGGGCAATTTGACCCATCAGAGTGCCATCATAGGGTTGTATACATTCTTGTTGATTGTTAATCAGAAAAGAGGCCGATCGATGATCAAAGCAAAGCGGGAGAAGAAATAAGAAGACTAGCCGGCCATGGAAGAATCAGAAGGGTGCGAGGATGATGATGGGATTCAGCACGGAATAAAGCGGAAAGCGCGGGAGGACGCCGACATGCATATGGCCATGACACGAGCTGCTATCTCGCGCCAAGATGCATGAGGGCTTGCTTTGCTTTGCTTGCTCTCTAGCTTTGGTTAAGGCCCTTTAGTGCCTCATGATCAGTGCAGACTGCTCTAATCTCATCTCACCAAAATAAAGAGAACGCAGCGCAGCATGCATGGTTAACACGTAGAGTAGAGTACGTACTATTCTCTTAGAACAAAGAACGTCGCTGGAGAAAGAACAAATTAATACTACTAATGCTAAGGCCCCGGCTTTTACTTTTGTTAGTTGAATTTTTTGGACAGCGAGGCGAGGCCTACATGTTTGTCTCATCAGCTGGATGAAAGCAAAGTGACCCGACCCATACTTAGCTACTACCAGTACTCGTACCGTTTTACAGACGTGATAGAAAGCCATGTTTTAATCCTCTCAGGAAATTTTTACGCCTTCCATTTGGGATGCAAGCAGAAATTTTCTTTGCCCGGCCGGCCGGCCGGCCAGCACAAAAGAAAAGGATCAAAATTTTCTCAAAGCCCTAACTTCCAATTCCTAAAAAAGAACCCTAATTTTCCATGCATAGAAGGAGATGACGATCAGCATGCTCATGACGAGAGATATGATATAGCTAGAGAGAACGAAGGTGATCAATTATACGTACCTGGATGGCGATGGTGTCCTCGGAGTCCTTGTCGTCGAGGCGGTACTCGTGCATCACCCAATCGGTGCGCACCCCCTGCGGCGCGCGTCCGCGGTAGTATACCAGCGTCTTCTTCATCCCGATTGCCCGGGCGCCGCCGCCGGCTCCTCCGCCGCCGTGGTGCTGCTGCGTCATGACGCGCCGGTCCTTGCCGGTGGACTTCCAGTACCCTGCCCGCGTCGCCCGGTTGGTCCGGAAGCCGTTGGGGTACTTGCGGTCCCTCGGCCCGAAGAAGTACCACTCCGGGTCACGGCTCGGCAACAACGACTTCTCTGCACGCGCCATGAGGACGGATGGTGTAATTCATCAATCAGTTCACGTAGGCGAGATCACATGCGAATTCAAATCGATCGATCATACCTGCGAGGTCCCATGGCTCGCACTTGTAGAGGTCCACCTCCGGGATGATGTCGAGCTCGATGTGGAGCCCGTGGATCTTGCGCTTCAGGTAGTAGTTCACCAGCTCCTCGTCCGTCGGGTGGAACCGGAAACCCGGCGGCAGACCCACCGGCGCCATACCCCGGCGATCGACGACGGCGTCTGCGTGCTCCGGGCTGCGGCAGCTAGGTTGGTCGCTGCTTCGGCCAAGGAGCAAGACCCGCACTTTGCTTCTTCTTCTCTGCTCCTGCTGGTTGGAGGAGGGTGCTGCTGCTGCCTTTACCGGGCGGCTAGCTGCCCTTATAAGTAGGTTTTCTCTTCCTCTGGGTCGATCGTCGTCGGCTGGGGTAGGAGGCACACTAGTCGTCCTCCCCTCGAGATTTTCATCGATCGGATGGGGGCCACCTTTACTAGCTACCTCCTCTTTTCCAGATTCCCTCGCAAGCTTCATCCTTTTCCTTACACGGCGCCCGACCGCCCCTCATTTCTCTCTTAGAGTCTAGACGTGTAACTCTCTCTCTCTC